GGGGCGGTCGTGGCCTTTGCGGCTCCCGGGTGTGTTGCGAGTGGGAATGCTGCAGCACACACGTGGATCCCCTCCTCAGGCATGGGGAGCACAAGGCTGGGGGCTGCAGAAACGTGGGGAGGTGGCAAAGCAAGGGCCTGAGCAGCCAAGCGGACAGGCTGGAGGGGAGCAGCTCCCCTCGGGGCAGTGAGTGCCATTATGGTCTGGAAAAACGAGAGGGGCTGCACATGTTCCTTCCCCAGAGCTCTGGAGGGGACCAGCTGGGCTGGGGACACTGGACCAGTGACAGGATGCTCTGCTGCTGATCCCTCCATGGCTCTCACCCTGCCGCAAAAGCCAGACCTCCTGGGTAAGTGTGTGGGTCGTGGCTGTAAGGTTCTGGCACCCGGGTGCTGTGACTGCCAGGCTGCCCATCTCCCTCATCCCACCCATGTGGGCCTGAGGGGGCTCCCATGTCCCTGCTCAGTGAAACATGTGCAGCTCCCTGTGTTGGTCCCTGCCAGCCACGGGGCTCACAGGGGACCATGAGGCATTCACCAGCAGAGGAACAAGCACCAGGAGGGAGATATCTCACCAGGTCAGGGTCTGCCCATAGATCAGCTCCAGCACGTTTCGGGCGATGTCAAACTCAGGCTTCTGCTTCCTTTTCAGCCTCTTCTCCAAGATAAGCCTGGGAAGGAGCGGAGCTCTGCTCCCACACTGCCACTGGCGGGGCCACTCGGCACCCCATCTTCCCCCTCAGACGGCGGCAGAGCCTGGGTGCACCAGGGCAGTGCCACCTGGGCAGCAGAGAGATGGAGCTGTGCTGGGGACACCATACCGGTGGGGGGACCCCTCCTGGGGCATTTTACCTCCAGACCAGCTCCCCAAAAAGCGTGTCCAACAGGGTGAATATGAAATCCATCACCACAAAGCGATACAGGTCCTGCCCCACACATGTCTCCCAGCACTGAGGAGACAAGCAAAAGTGGCATCAAGTGGGCAACAAGGCCTCTGCTCCCCCATGACTTTCCCGTGGCCCCCATGGGGTGTGAGGGGCTGTGGGACCTTTTCCTCCTCTGCACCCTTTCCCCAGCCACCCCACATTTGGGGTGCCCCTGTCTGGCGGTCGCCCCCCTCTCCACGGCAAAGGAGCAGATGGTGCCTGCAGTGCCGTCCAGAAGATCCCCTCCTGCCAGACCCCTGCCCCAGCTGCTTGCTGGTGCTGGGACTGCAGCCTTGGCTTTGCTCCGCGCTCCCTGGCCAAGGGATGGTCTGGATGGCGTGGCCCAGCCGGTTCGCGTGGGCGCCGCACGCTCCTCGCATGGCCCTGCACAGAGCTTGGCCCTGCACGGCCCGGCGTGGCGGTGCTGACCTCCTCTGTCGAGCAGACAACTCTCCGGCTGAGCCACTGGTAGCAGAGCAGGCCGAGGACCACCATCTTCAGAATGAGGTTCCTGGGGAGCAGGAGCAGGGCCGGGAGCCCCTGAGCCCTGGGGACGGAGGGGCTGAGCCCCGCGGATGGGGTGCCTGACCCCAGAGCCCCGCCTCACGCCGCAGGTAGGGGTGCAGGACGCTCCCCCCCACCCCAGCCAGCCTACCTGCAGATCGCCACGTAGACCTCTGTCACAGGGGAGTCCTGCTTCTCCCACACGGCCAGCAAGTTGTACAGGTGGGGCATCAGCACGGTGAGGAGAGACACCACAAGGGGCAGGACCAGCAGGATGGCTTCCTGCTGCCGCTCACCGCTGCCTCGTGCGCGGTGGC